CATAAAAATTTTTTTTGCGAAATCTCCCACGGAACTAAAGCTTGAATCAGATTTTTCGATTCGATCTACATTGTATGATCTCTGCTAATCATTTCGTGAGAATTTCAGTCTGTCACTTTGCCAGGAACCACAGGACGGGTTAACGCCAAATGAATCAGCTAGCATATTTCTCTACACTCTCGAATGGAGTCCTGACTGTGTTTACTCGCTGCTAAATAGCACCCTACGCTCCGAACATCGACAACATCTTTTACCTTGGTTTTCTTATCTAAAACTGTTATTAACTGCATTATGGAAACTACCGTCTCAGAAACTTGTCGTTCATCGGGGAGTCAGACTCGATTTGAGTAAGGATTATGTCAAAGGAAAGACACAAGTTTGGTGGGGCTTTTCAAGCACAACTCAATCTGTTGAAATTTTAGAATCTGAGCTGTTTCTTGGGAAAAGCGGTGAGCGTACTTTATTCACCATCGAGTGTTTGAATGGGAAGTTGATTAAGAATCACTCATATTACGCTTTCGAAGATGAAGTACTTCTTCTGCCAGCTACACAATTTCAAATTACTGGCAAACTAGATTTGGGAAGCAATATTCATACAATAATGCTCAAAGAAGTTGTGCCACCTTTTCCTCTTCTGGAGCCACCATTTATTGAAAAGGTACCAGCAATAGCCTCGCGGCCTTCATCATCCAAAATAACAGTTGTTTCAAATGCAAGTTTTGACGTTGCTCCAAAAATCGGGACTGCAACTTCAAAAAAGCAGGATGATAAAAAAATTCGCGATTTGATTGAAGGATGCAGAGCAGAAGCAGAGTGGAATTTGGACTCTAAAGAGCTCACGGATTTTGAGATAAGACTCCTCGCAGAGGAGCTTACAACAAACAAAAACTGCAAGAAACTTGTCCTGTGGGATAACGAAATCACTGAAGTTGGTGCTCAGTATTTAGCTGATATGTTAAAAAAGAATAGAAAATTGAAATATCTTATGGTTGGAATGAACATGATTGGGAAAGGTGTCCAATCCTTGTGTGAAGCACTGAAACATCATAATAGTACTCTGACAACCTTAGATGTTCAATGTAATTCAATCGGAAACGATCTGATAGCCACCATTATAGACCTTATGAAAACAAGTAAATCGCTCGATGCTTTGTATCTAGGCTGGAATCGAATATCGGAAGAAAATAGACATAAATTGCAGAATCTAGCTAAAGCACGAAGAATTAGACTATATTTATGAGTTAATGAAATCAAAACATTTACATTACTCAATTGTTGTACTTTCAACTGCTGTGTAATATCGTTTTCTCCTTATAAAATACAGTGCTCAGGATTGTAAGCAAGGGTTTCATCGTGAAAAAATGACGTGGAGCTTGTCTTATTCTAGTGCAGAACGAGCTTTTGAAATTGATCAGACTTGATAAGTTATCGTTATTTCTGAAAAATAATTTTGTCGTGATGAAAAAATGAAGCTCACACGTTTCTGTTGTTCAATGACTTCAGGGCATTAACTTTGACTTTTTTAAAATTAAAGTGTTAGAGTATGTTACTCTACTATCGAAACGGAAAGGTCGTGCCGGTTGCCGTTTTTCAAATAACTTTTTAACGAAAGGTCTTAGCAGCCTGCGGTTTTCACTGTTAGAAAGAAGACACTTGAGGCCCTCTTTTCACAAGCGAG